GGAAGCTCCAGTCTCTTGATCACGTAATGTTTCATGGTCTGGCACTTAGTTCCCTTCAGGGTTTAGTAGTGCATCCGGAGTTGCTTTTCAAATAACATACAGTTTCTTTGCTACAGATGATATGATCTTGCTTCAGAACTGAAAGACCTACACTGTGACTCTCTAGGTATGACATATCAGAGACTCTTGACAGCATTTTAATTCACCACAGCAAACTCTAGGACCATGGTATTTGCCAGGACACATACCCCAAGTGACAGGGCTGCTTATACCACAGCCTGACTCCATCTTTTGACAGGAGGAACTGCAAAGCATTGTGGTCATTTTTTCAGTCTGTCACAGAGGTCTTTATGTATTAAACAACACCTCTTGTTATTTCCATGTAAATACACTGGTTGAATAATACAAAATATTGAATTAATGCCATGGAATCAGAAAATTGCTGAGCAACTCATTTGGTCAAATTTGCCCTAATGGAAAGAACTTTACCACAACAAGCTTCTGTAAAAGCAAAAACCAACACTCTACCTTGCTTCTAATGCCCCAGTATTTTCCCATGGCATAGTTAGGGGGAAAATTGATTCCAGAAATAAACCAAAATATAACAGGGGCATCCTATCTAGTTGTGATACCAAAGTAATAAAAGTGTCACTATTCCTATAAACCTACACTTCGTAACAAAAATGATTTTATCTCCTAATTTTACTCTGCTGGTGTCTCAATGTATGTCATAACCTTTATGAATATGATGGTCATGTGAGAAAGTTGATGTGTTCTCAGTTTGAACAGACTCATGCAAGCCTGGTGATCTTGGTAATTTTGTGGGATTTTTCCTTTAAATGCTCACTCTAAGTTTGATGAATCAATTCTTCTGAGGTCTGACTTTCTTGCACCCTACAAAGAAACTTCTTTATTTTTCAAAATGTATTTATTTCTGAGTCTTCCTTTGTCACATTTATTGGCCATTTGGATTGCCTCTTTTGTGCAGGGCCTTCAAGGTATCTGCCATATTGTGAGTGATTTTCAGTTCTTTTGATATTCTGGATACTGGTTCTTTGTTGGTTATGTGTGTTGCAAGTATCTCCCCTACTATGTGGCTTTTTATTCTTTCCATAAATTTTTATGGTGCCTTTTGATGGACAGTGGTTCTTAATTTAAAGGTGTCACATTTATTAATCTTTCTTCATGGTCAGTGTTTTTTGTATCCTGTATAAGAAATAACTCTCTACTCCATGGTCATGAAGATATTTCCTTATAATCAGCATCTTATTGATGAGAATTTATGTTTTTTACTGTGTTTTGCTATTACAAACAGTTGCTTCAGGGCCTTGTTATATATATTTGGCGTACTTGGCATGTTTTCTTAAAGGATTTCTATATAGAATAAACTGCCAGCAGAGAAATTACTAGGCAGGATGATATTTTAAATGTTGATAATCACTGAAAAATTGACTTCCAAAAGGTATTGAACATACCTTTCATTCAAGATACTTATCACACTGTATTACAACTATTGATCAATCTGTTCACCCACCTGTGAAGAGATGCTACCCATATGGTTCTGGATGCTGAAAAAAATAAAGCAAGTCTGTTCTTTAACATGGTTGTAATTGGGTTGAATTCATCAACTGCAAAGGAGAAAAACAGCAGAGATTGTGAAAAATGTTGCTTGGACATGGCTTAAGATCTAGAACTTGGATGTTGAGATCAGACTGCAGCAAAGGATGCTTCTCCTTCAAGGAGATAATTTACAATGACTTAAAAAGAAGTATTCTAATATGTTTTGAGATAAACAAAGGTTTGATCAGTATACCTAAAGATGACTGGATGGCAAATTGGACACTGATGTTGATTTTTTAGTTTGTAATTTTAAAAATAATTACATTTGCTAACAGAATATATTGTTATATAAAAAAGTAGGCTCCAAAAAATGTGCCCAATTATGAAGATAATCAGATCTCCCTCTTCTTTTTGCTTATTCTTTTTCTTATTTTTCTACAGTGAAAATAACTTGCCTTCATAATAATAATATATTGCTGATACTTAGGCTAATTGGCTTTAAAAGCAAAAATTCTGCAGTCAAGATTAGACAATAACAATACTGTATACAAACTTTTGTCTTCATTTCTTTTGTTTTATTTTGAGACAGCGTCTCGCTTTGTCACCCAGGCTAGAGTGCAGTGATGAAATCATGGCTCACTGCAATCTCGACATGCTGGATTCAGGTGATCCTCCCACCTCAGCCTCCTGAGATGCTGGGACTACAGGTATGCAGCACCATGCCTGGCCAATTTTAATTGTTTTGTAAAGATGGGGATCTTGCTATGTTGCCCACATTGGTCTTGAACTCCTGGCTCAAGCCATCTACCCACATCAGCCTCCCAAAGTGTTGGGATTACAGGTGTGAGCCAGTGTGCCTAGTCAAACTTTTATCTTATTAAAGCTTTATAATTGTGTTATTTTTTGAATTAAATAAAAAAATTTTTTTAGATAACTTATGAAATTGAATAGATTCACATGCAGTGGTAAGAAATAATAATAGAGTTCCTCTATACCATTTACCCAGTTCCTGCAGTGATAATATCCTGAAAAACAATAGTACCTCATCACAGCCAGGATATTGACATTGATACAATCCATCTGTCTTACTCAGATTTCTCCAGTTTCACTTGTGCTAATTTGTGAGGGTGTACAAGTCAAGATGTATGTATAATTCTATACAATTTAATCATATATGCAAGTATCTACCGCCATAGTCAAGAACAGAAAAGAATTTCATTACTAGAGTATTCCTTGTGTTGCCTTTTCAAAACCATACCTACCTCCCTAACTCTGGACAGTCACTAATCTGCTTTTCATTTCTCAAATTTTATCTTTTCAAAAATGTTGTATAAATGAAACTATACAGCATATAACCTTTTGGGATTGGTTTTTTGGTTCAGCATTATTCCCGGAAATTCGTTCAAGTTGTTGCTTCTATTGATATTTTACTCTATCTTTTGCTGAGTAGTATTCTGTGATATGAATATATCACAATTTGTTTATTCACCCATTGAACGACATTTGGGTTTGTATTCATTTCCCATTACAGCTGTAACAATTTGCCACAAATGCAATGGTTTGAAACAACCGAATGTAGTATCCTGTAGTTTAGAGGTTAGAAGTCCTAAAACCAGGGAGTTGGCCAGCTGTGTTTTTTCTGGAGGCTCTAAGGGATAATCTGTTTCTTTGCCATTTTCAGTTTCTAAAGGCTGCCTGCATTTCTAGGCTTGTGTCCCCTTCTTTAATCTTTAAAGTCAGCAGTATAGCATCTTCAAAAATCTCTCTCTCTCTGACCTCTGCTTCTGATATCACATCTTTTTCTTTGACTTAGACTTTCTTTCCTCCCTCTAGGGTACCTGGTATTACATTGGGCCCACCAGGATAATCCAGAATAATCTCCTGTCTCAATATGCTTAATTTAATCACATTCTGTTCACCATGTACTGTAAAATATTCACAGCTTCCAGGGGTTAGAATGTGCCCATCTTTGGGAGGCCATTATTCTGTTCATTACAGGATTGTTTCCAGATGTGGGCTGTATGAGTATAGATACTATAAACATTTATACAGGTTTGTGTGTGTGTGAACATCTTTATTTCTCTGGGATAAATACCCAGGAGTATAATTACTGGGTTGTATAGTAATTGCTTATTTTGTTGGATAAGAAACTGCCAATCTGTTTTCCAGAGTGGCTGTAATAGTTTACATTCCCACCACAATGTATGAGTGATACAATATCTCTGCATGCATGTCAGCATTTGATACTGTCACTATTATTTATTTTAGCCAGTCTGATAGGTGCAGAGTGATATCTCATTGTGGTTTTAATTTCCATTTTGTTATTGACTGATGATGTTGTTGACAGCTGTTGTGATACCTTGGTTCTTGTCTTCTTAGAGAGACTCACGGCAAAGGAGATACAGCAGAGTAATTTATTGTAAAAGAAAAAGAGTATTTTGAAAGTTAAGTGCAGAAGAGATAGTACACCCTGAGAGAGCGAGGATTCAGAGTGGTCAGCTTATAAGGATGAGACAGTGAAGACTGGCACTAGGGAGATTCTTTTCACGAGAGTCTTACATGGTTATTCATAAGGAGGTGGGAAGAGGTGTTATTAGTAAGCATGTTCTGGGTGGTCCTCTGGGTGCACACGCACAGTAGCTGTGCATGCTTGTCATACCTCGAGTGTCTCATCAGCATCTGAAATCTCCACCCAGGGGTGTGCTTTTTACTATGATAATGAACAAAGGGTCAGTTTAAGAACAGGTGAAATCAAAGTGCGCATGCTCTCTACAGGGGAAATTCCCTACTGAAGATAGCTTTGCTTGAATGAGCTCAATTACAATGCAAATGAGGCTTACTGTGTTGACTGTACGGTCACCACCGTTGCTGCGTCCCGAGGACATGGTCTACCTGTCATGCCTCATTGTTGAACATCTTTCCATACGGATGCTGATTTTCAAAAAGGTAGCAGTATCATCTCTAACTCAGTGGTTAGTAATGTTAAGTGCAACATGTATGTTAAAGAGTTTTAGTTTAATTGCAAACAAGTAAAGGAGGGAGATTCTGGTAAAGCCCTGGCCTAGAGGAAGCTCTGCGGTATCGCAGAGAGTAATGGACGCATCTTTGTGTGAACAAAGGGCTAGGCAGCTGCCACTCTGTGGCCAGGGACCTAGGCCAGGAGATGCGGAGTGCTGGGGGTGGGGGGTGCGTCCGATGAGGTGGAGGGCCCTGAGTCCACGCAGAGCTGCGAAGAGAGAGAGGACTCATCTGAGTCACCACTGCACGGCGCGGCCCCGCCCAGGCCCCGCCCAGGCCCCGCCCCTCAGACGGCCGGGTGGCCCGGCCCCGCCCCCTCGTCCCTCGCGGCCGCTCCAGGTTCCCGCCAGAATCTATGCGGCAGGCGTGGAAACCGCTGCGAGGGGGCGCCATGACAGAGGCTGTGGTCGCCGGCAGTACCCATGGCGTCCCGGGGCGGCAGCTCCCTGGGGCTCCTGGCCTGGCTCTTGCTCCTTCAGCCTTGGCTCGACGAGGCCAGGGCAGGCAGGGCGGGGGCTGAGGGAGGCGCAGCACCGCTCTCCCCCTCCACTCTCCCCTCAGGGCCGGGCAGCCTGGACCCAGGAGCGAGCAGGTGGGAGCCGCGGCCCGTAGGCGCTCCAGGATCCCCAGCGGCCCGCCAGTCCAGGGGCAACGGAGTGCCCCGTGCTTCGGTGACATTTCCCTCAGGTGAGTCTGATTCTTGCCAGGCTCTGGCAATCCATCCGTGCGGACCAAAGGGACAGCGGCATTAACATCAGGTGAGGCTTCTGGGCCACGCCCTGCCGCAGAGAGCCGGCCCGGTCTGACGGGGAGGGGACCTGCCCTAGAGGAGGGGCGGCTCGGGGACAGATCTGTCCAGCGGCGGGGCGGCTCCCTGAGACCTGGGGGGACCCGGCCACTTTCCGAAGATGCAGGGGATGCAGGCCTTGGTCTGAGGGTTCTGAGCCCGTTTGGCTCCGGTGAAGGCGCTGCAGCAGCGTTACTCTCAGTCCGTTTCATTGACCTGCCGCAGCCTGTGGTCATCGGATTTCCAGGATAACTGGAGGATTACCGGCCCCAGAAAAGAAGTGGCCCTGGCAGGTGAGCCTGCAGACCAGCGACGGACACGTCTGCGGAGGCTCCCTCATCGCCAGGAGCTGGGTGCTCACGGCTGCCCACTGCATCTATGGGTAAATGTTTGGGGCGCGGAGCTGGGGCCCTGGTCAGCCCGTGGGACCTGGAGCCAGTCTGTCCCCGCTCCTTGAGCTTCCTCTTCCTCATCTGTAAAACGGGGTGACAACCCTATAGGTTTTATCCTGTCTGGGTGAGACCTGAGGATCTGCATTTCTAACAAGTGTCCGGGTGTTGCCGCTGCCACCGCTGGTCTCGGGGACCACAGGCCAAATGGGTCAGAGGTCCTGGGCGTACGCGGTTTGAGGGAGGGAGGTGGCTGCCGGCTGTCATAGGAAGATGGGACCAGGCTGGGAAGCACCTGGAAGGTGTGGCAGCAGATTGCAGACCCTGGAGGATCTCTCAGCAGCCACCTGGAATACACAGCGAAGCTGGGAGACACAGAAGTGCAGCACCTCTCCAAAACGGCGCTTGTGGTCCCGGTTCGTGACATCGTTATCCACCGATATTTTACTACTCTTGGAATAATTCAGAATGACATTGCCCTTGCTCTGCTTGACTTCCCTGTGAATTACTCCACGCACATCCAGCCTGTGTGCCTTCCTGAACAGGCTTTCATGGTGCAAGCTGATACGAAGTGCTGGGTGACTGGATGGGGCAAAGTAAATGAAACAGGTGAGACTCTGAAGCAAGACTACAGCAGCCCCAGACCAGGGAAAAGGCTGCTTGGTACCCTGGGGTTGACCTACAAGCTAAAGGGAGGGACAGAGAGGTATATATATACATATATATATATATATATATATATATATATATATATTATTTTTTTTATATATATACATATATATATATATATTTTATTTTTTTTTTAAGTAAGTCAGGGAGGAGGATGCAGTAAATGCTGCCAGGGAGTAATTTGAACAACTGTTTTATGAAATTCTGTTGGTTTGTCAGGACCTGGGGATTTGGGTGCCAGGCATGGTGGGTTCTCTCTAGGGTGAATTTTACCTCTGGGGGTGATGAGCTAGCTGTCTGCCTTTTAAAGCTAGCTGTCCCTCCCTGGAAGTACAGCCTTGGTAGATAGGGAGCTTCCTGTGTGTAAAGAGGCCAGAGACCTTTCATTGAGGTGTAGGGCCTCTTATTCATGGGGAGAGGCTGGATTTGGTACCTTTGGGGCATTACCTGTCTGAAAGTCTGTGATCCTGCTCTAGAAAGTATAGATGCTTTGCTGATGTACAGGATGCTGTGTCACTATTAGTACTGCTACTCAGAGTGACAGATGCATGGTTTTGGTTTCTCAGGGTGGTAACACCTATCCTGTGTGTTCTTATTTCTCCTGTTTTGGTTTGGATCTTACATCCTCCTCTCCCCATGTCAACACTGTTCCGCATATCTTCCTTTGTCAAATGGGACACTATCCAATGCCCAAGAAGGTGTCTGTGTGTGAACACACTGTATTGAGACCCAGGGTGGGCATGGGGTTCTCTCGTCCTGTCCCACTTACGCAGGTCCACTCAGTCATAAATGGTCTCTCTGTAGATCCATCAGATAAAGCAGTAACTGAGCTTCAGGAGGCTGAGCTACGCATTATGCTTCATGAAAAATGTAATAAGATACTCAAGAAAAACCTGAGAAGGTGGAATGCAGTGATCAAGAAAGGGACTGTCTGTGGCTACAGTGACCAAGGGAAGGATGCCTGTCAGGTCAGTTCATGGGCCTCTTGCTGCCTCAGCACTGCAGTTGTCTCCTCAAAGCTTCCTCATCCGCAGCCAGTAGGGCCTGGGTTATCTCCTAGCCCCTCGGTTTACCCTCACTCATGTAATGGGACGTGAGGACAAGCCACCAAGGCTCTCCTGGGCAGCCTTCCTGATCCTTCAGGAGAGAGCAGCTAACACAGCCTGGAGTGGGAGGAGGGGTGAATCAGGCAGGTCCCACCAACAATGCGTGCTCCGTGTGGGCTCCTTCTGTGTGACAGGCAGTATTATTACTCAGGTAAGCACTAGACTCATTATTGTCTCAGAGTAGGAATGATTTCATCATGTGTATTAAGTTTTTTGGAACATGCCTTTTCAGTAGGTGCATGATTTTGCTTTATTGGAAATCGTCGATTCTCAGCTCTCTTATCGACAGATACCTAAGGCTAGGAGGGTCTTCGGGGTTCCCGGGGAAGCCCCCTGAGTGCCTAGCTCTGCGGCGCATTGCAGTGCAATCAGCCTGCTCTGACGTGGAGGCTGTTTCCTACAGTGATTGTGTTTCTTTTTCCAGGGAGATTCTGGGGGACCCCTGGTCTGTGAATTAAATGGTGTATGGATCCAGGTGGGGATTGTGAGCTGGGGCATTGGCTGCGGTCGCAAAGGATATCCTGGAGTTTACACGGATGTTAGTTTCTACAAGGACTGGGTCATTGGCCAACTGAGACAAGCTTCATGTCTGGATTCAGCAGACTTCCTCATCCTATTCCTGTGTCTGGTGATGCCCCTGGGCATCCTGGTGACCCCATGATCGGATCCCATTCTACTTTTCCTGTTTCTGAGTCTCATACTAGGCCTCTCCTCCAACCTTCCGCTCCTTCTCAAGGCCCTTTCTGCAAATCCCAGTTGGAATCCACAGGCCCTCTGGAGATCCAAACAGTAGAGCATGGCGGAGAGACTGGAGCCTGGAAAGTGTCCTTGCCTGGTGCTCTGGCCACCTGCCTCCGCCGTGCCTGCATCAGGGCTGTGCTCTGCCTGGTGGGAAGGAGGGAGTGAACCTATTCCAGCTAGAGGACCAGCTGCCCTGCCAGGGGGGCCACTGTGACTCTTCAATACCTGGGAGAACATCTGTCGAAGAAGAGACATCATCAAGAGTGAAGCAAGTGTTAGACGTGGTTCTGGTTTCAGGGCTCTTACCTGAGACTGTGTCAGCTGGGCGATTGCTCAGAGAGAGTGAAGGAGGCATTCCCAGGTCCCTGCAGAGGTGTGAGGCCTGGGACTTCCACTCTGGCTCAGTTGTCCGGGGCTGGGAGAAGTTCCCCTATAGCCCAGTGTGGGTCCATCTGTGAGTGGACAGCCTCTGCCACACCAGCTCTCTTGGGGCAACCCATTCTTGGCACCCCCTTCCTCAGTGCCCTAGTGGCTACTTTCAGAGACACCGTAAGTTGTGTTGAGGCAGTTATGGAGTGTGGAGTTTTTAGAAATCAACTGAATAAATGTTTGGAGACTCTCCTGTGTTTCTGAAGCTCTGCTCAATGGGGCGTGAGGTTGTATATAACATACTCTGTAGAGAACTGGCTTTCCATTTATTAGAAAGGTATTCATGGTTTTTATAACACTTTGGCAGAGCCAGAGATGAGGAGTTTGTCTGCCCTCATTTAAATCCAACAGGCGGCTTTACCCAGTGGGTCCTGCTGCCTGTCATTTTTTTTTTTTTTTTTTGGGTCATCACCATCTCTATAGCTGGGAGCGTGGTACTTGAGTTTAACAAACCCTGCATCAGGAGCAGGGGATCAAGAGGGACAGAGGCTGGGGCATGGCACACTCAGACACCTTCCTCCCTCTCCTTGCAGTCTTGTAACAAATGGGCCTTGAGGAGATAAAATGGACTATGGGCTGGTCCTTGAGCCCAAAGAGCTGAGTACCCACAGGGAGGAGGGTGGGAAGGAAGAGCACACTTGTGTGTGTGTGTGTTTGTATTTGTGTTTTTGTGTGTGTGTGTGTGCATGCAGGAGAGAGAGAAAGAGAGAAAGAGAGAGAGAGAGAGAGAGAGAGAAAGAGAGAGAGAGAGAGAGAGAGATCCTGCTGCCTGAGGGAGGCTGGGGCTGGTACACTCTGCTTCTCAAACTCTACCTGGTTACAGTTAAACCCAGGAAGTCCTAGATGATGTCTTACAGAAATGCCCAGGAAGAAGGGCTGGAGGCCCAAGACTTGCCACATACTTCTGTTACTTGCAGCTTTCTTTCAGAATAGGCTGACTGACCCTTTTCTGTGTTCCATCTGCTGAGAATGCCAGTATGGCTTCTCATTTCCTTCTTTCTTCCACATCAGTTTAGCTCCAGTATAAGCATTCCCCTTTTCCACAAAACACTCTTGTGGACTCTGCTGCGCTGTGTAATGTCATGCGCCTTCTTCTGGGCTCCCTGGACTCTGCAGTCTCTGCACCTGTTAATTTCTCTGTTTCCGCTGGTTGACATTTTGCCATGGGACTCTGCCGAATCTTTCCTTATCTTCCATCCTCCAGCTCCAGGTGTAGAACACAGCAGAAGTTTAGGAACTATCTGATGAGTGAGTGAGTGAATCAGTAGATACTTAGATGCTATATATCCTCTATTGCCTCACTCCTTTCTCTCACTGTCCTTTTGTCTCATTGCTCTGTCCCCCTTTTGCTTTCCAAGTTGCCTTCATGAAGGGGAAAAAACACAACTGGGTAGGCAAGGGTTACAGCCCCTGCAGTGGGGAGTCCCAGGCTCCAGAAAGTTTATGGTTCCAGATGGGGTGCCCTTTGGTCTTCCAATGTTAGAGCATGCTTCTTGTTATTGGAGAATAGAAATTCCATTCAACATCTTGGTTATTGAGGAACAGCCTCTGGCTACCAGAAAAGATGGGCATGGCCTCCCAGGGAACAAAACATCAAGTGCCAAGTACACGTTAGTCAATTTTACCCTTTCCAGTAAATACTTGTGAATTATCTTTTATGATTTGGGCACTGGCCTTCCTCCACAGATAAGATGTATGTGGCAGGTTGCGGGTAAATGTCATCATTCATTAGGAGGACTTCTAGGTAAGGCGCTTGCTGGCTGGGTAGAACCTGAAAGACGGGAGACACAGGGAGAGGAGTTGTTGAGTGTCAGGCAATCAGTTTTAGTAAAAATGCCAGACCTGAATAAAAAGGAAAGAAAAACAAACAACAAAAATCCCTATGGGTTTCTAGCCATAAGGGGCAAGGGACGAAGAGAGCAATAAGCATTTCTAGTGGTCTTGGAATACCATTTGCCACCAAAAGAAACCAGGGCTGCTTGGAGAAATGGCTTGAAAAATTTACAGGTACAAAACCGGAAATGTATAAAATGAGCCTGAAATTTCTTGTCATACCAGATAGCAAGGAAGCTATCGTGTCAACAGGACTCAGAAACAATCGGAAGAGGCACCCTGTATTCTGACATGTGTTCCTGCTAGATCCCACTGCAGAGAAATCACAGCCATCCTTTAGCTTCAGAAGATACTAATTCACAACTGCACCCCTTACAAAATGTGCACTCAGCTACAGGGAACTGATTCCCTCAAGATTTAAGTCCCTTCACAGGGGTAGCCCATAGCAAATAATTGCTATGCAGAGATGCAAAGGTCCAGCCTCCTTCCCTCAATCTGGGACAACTTGGAAAGGCCTCTTGTAGGATCAGCTGAGATGTCAGTTGCAACTGGCTTCTGTGAGCAGCTTCTCCTAGGAGCACTCCTCAACAAACCATTAGACAGAATTCTCTGTCAGAGTCCATGTTCAGGGAACCCAATCTAAGCCACCCTGCCTGGCAAAAGATGCCTTTGGTGTGTTTCAGGATTCTACTGCTGAAGAACAATCACCCCAAACTCAGTGGCCTAAAACAACACATCGTATTATGGTCAATTCTCATTCATACTTGCAAATTCACCTACTTGCTGAGATTTATTTTAACCCCAAATTCAGTACTGGCAGTGATTTGTGGTCATTTGTGGATGTGCCCAGTGCAGTGGAAAAATTTAAATTGTCTGACATACATGTTCCTAGCTGGGGCTGTGCAATGTGCTATTTTGTCTGCTTTCATCTTTCTTACTGTAAACAAGTGTCTTTTTTTGGGGTAATCAGGAATGATTTTTTAAAAAAATTTACTTTAAGTCAGGGCACATGTGCAGATCTTGCAGGACTGTTAGGTATACACATGCCATGGTGGTTTGCTGCCTCCATCCCCCTATTACCTACATTAGGTATTTCTCCTAATGTTATCCATCCCCAATCTCCCCACCCCCTGCTATCCATCCCCTAGCCCTTCACCCCCCAACAGACCCCAGTGTGTGACATTCCCCTCCCTGTGTCCATGTGTTCTCATTGTTCAACACCCACTTATGAGTGAGATCATGCAGTGTTTTGTTTTCTGTTCTTGTGTCAGTTTGCTGAGAATGATGGTTTCCAGATTCATCCATGTCCCTGCAAAGGACATGAACTCATCTTTTTTATGGCTGCATGGCATTCCATAGTGTATATGTGCCACATTTTCTTTATCCAGTCTATCATCAATGGGCATTTGGGTTAGTTCCAAGTCTTTGCTATTGTAAACAGTACCACAATGAACATACATGTACATGTGTCTTTATAATAGACCTATTTACAATTCTTTGGGTATATACCCAGTAATGGGATTGCTGGGTTAAATGGTATTTCTATTTCTAGATCCTTGAGGAATCGCCACACTGTCTTCCACAATGGTTGAACTAATTTACACTCCCACCAACAGTGCAAAAGCATTTGTATTTCTCCACATCCTCTCCTGCATCTGTTGTCTCCAGATTTTTTAATGATCGCCATTTTAACTGGTGTGAGGTGTCTTAACTATCACTTAAAAAAAATATTTTTTTTGCTTGTTGTTGGTGATTTTGCTGTTTAAAAGGGCTCCAAGTCCAGGCATGGTGGCTCATGCCTGTAATTCCAGCACTTTGGGAGGGCAAGGTGTGTGGATCATGAGATCAGGAGTTCAAGACCAGCCTGGCCAACATGGTGAAACACCATCACTGCTAAAAATAAAACAATTAGCTGGGCATGGTGGTGCACCGCTGTAATCCTAACAGGAGGCTGAGGTAGGAGAATTGCTTGAACTGGGGAGGTGGAGGTTACAGTGAGCCAAGATCGCACCACTGTACTCCAGCCTGGGCAACAGAGTGAGATTCCATCTAAAAAAAAGAAAGGACCTCAAGAGTACTGCTGAAATGCTGGCTAGTGCTCCTAAGTGCAAGAAGGCTGTGATGTGCCTTATGGAGAAAAATATAGGTGTGTTAGATAAGCTTTGATCAGGCACTCATAGTCCTGTTGCCTGGGAGTTCAGCCAGTCAGGAGTATACTAAAGGAAGTGTCTTTAAACTGGAACACACATAAAACAAGGTTATATGTTGACTGGTCATTGAGTCTATTTTGACCAGAGGCTCACAGGAATCTAACCCTATATTTCCTCTAGGAGCATGGTTCAGTATTCATGAATTCAGTCCTTGTGATGACTTTATAAAATATAACTTCTGTGAATAATGAGATTCAATTGTGTTTCTCATAATTTTGTAGGATAGTTGGGCAGTTCTGCTGGGCTAGTCTGAGCAGATTCCTGTGGTTACACTTCAAGCAGGGCCAGGATGTCCCAAGATGCTCTTGCTCAAATGGTGAGTGGTTATCTGGGAATACAGGTAGGGGTGCCCTACTTTTTCTCCAAAGGCCTGTCATCCCCCTGTAGATTAGATCAGGTGGACTCAGGACAGTGCTTCAAGTGAGTGAAAGCAGAAATTGCAAGGCCC